GTCTATTGCCATACATTTTTCGCCAAACACCTCCATAAACACATTATAATCTGTATATATGTTAGACTTTAAGGTATCTATCTATGGGCCTACGTTCCCTGGCTATAAATTAATAAATAAATAACATTATTAAGTGTGATACACTAAAAATCTAAAATATGGTCTTTCATCATTTCATCTTAAAAACATAACAAAAATAATGAAGCTACTGAATATATGGCTATAGAACCTAAATCTCTTAGCTTTCTTTGGTTAACAAGAGTTTAAAAATTCTCTCTAATCTGTGGCTCATTCACAATCATCACACAGTTTCTGTCACAGAGTACCATATTATAACCGGAAATGACACCTGTTTTAAAAGTTACTCTTAAGCATTAACTTTAAAAATAGGCAACTATCTGTTAATGTACATGCTCTATATACCTGAATCTAATCCATAATTTCGGTACTTGGCTTGATTTCCATAGTTTAGTATATAACTTATTTGTTTTTTATTATTTTAATATGTTCAGTGTATATGGTTTATAGAAATTGTCAGGGGTGTCCGTCAATAATATTCGTTTCTACAGTAATTTATATATAATTTCGAATCTAGGAAACATTTTTTCATGATTATTGGTCTTTAGGCCAAACATGTATGGAAGCTGAGCAATCTCCTTTTATAGTAAACTAGCACTTATTCAAAAAGTCATCTTTTGTTTATGTTCTCTTTAGTAGTTTAGCAGTAAATATAAAATTCATTTACTTTTATTCTTCGACTATTTTAAATTGGCAGTGGCTGCATTGTCATGTCAACGTCCGGCTCTAAGATTGTGATATACACAAATGCAGTGTCATATCCTAGAGGCAGGTATCATAATATGATATACCTACATAATTTACACAAACCTAATATTTAGATGCCAGAAGTTAACTTCAAATGTTGTTAATCACCCGATATACAAAACTAATCAATGACGTTTATGTCGCAAGTTGAAGAAAGCAGAATTCCCGTCTATTGTTTTGGACAATAGTGGACTCTGCCTTAGATCGCTAAATTAAATACTTATGCCAAAGCAAAGTCCGTAATATATGATTAAACTAAAGGTGTATAATAAAATTTTCAAAACGTTAGGTAGAGCAAGCACCATAGCAATGTCGATTATTATCAATTTAAAGTTATCTTTGTAGTTTTCTTTTAAAGCGTTCACCAATAACAGGCCAAAGACTTTGTGATCGCCCCTTTTTTATTAGTAGTGAAAAGCTCGAATGAAGAGTACTTCCACCTATCAAGCGTGCTGCTACCAGCCTAGTTGGTATTACAAATAGTGAAATCATAGCAATTATATACAAAATATTTTTTTTTGTTTAAAAAAATACCGATTAACGTATCACTGTTAAGCACAACTGCTAAGTAACTTTTACAAATATAATCAAATAAACCTATTACTTACTTTATTTTTAAATCTTATTCATCAAGGAAATACTATTATCCTTACTATTTATACTAATGTTATAAAGAGGCAAGATTTGTATGTTTGTAACAAATAATCTGTCAAACTACTGAACCAGTTTCAAATATTACTTCATCATAAGGTAGCTACATTATTTATTATTACATTTTTCTTTATATAAATACATTTTGTCCGAGAGACGATAAATAAATTTCGCCCGTACAATGCCGGGGTAGATCACTAGTAAGTATAATATAATAACATTATAGATTCGAAAGTGAGTTTGTTTGTTGCGCTTCCGTGCCCTAATGGCTAAATCGATTATACTGAATTCCCCTATAGAAATAGATGGTAACTTGGTTCTTAGCTACAACATCGCAATACTTATAGGAGTAGGGTGGTGGAAGTGGTGATTTACCTATAAAATTCTATATTATATACTTTGAATTTTTTATTAAGAATTATGGTTTATAATTACAAAACTAATATTACCGCGAGCTGATTAATAAATACAGGGATTCCAATAAGTATGAACCTACAAACGAAAAATGGGTTATTTGTCATTATATTAAGTAACCCCTTGTTTATAACATTAAGTAATATAGTTAAAAAAATAAAAACTGTACAATTCTGAGTTTATCATTAAAATTCCATAATCATAAATACCTATTATGTTAATTTATTTTTCATCATTTAATAAGAAGGAACTGTATCACAGTTTTATTGCAAGTACTTCGTATAGGATCAGATACTGCGAGCAGCCCATTTTTTTCTTTTTCGCCTATCTTTTATCTACGTTTATAAAAACCTAAATTAAATTTTTTCTCTTAGTATTCCCGCAGTCTGCTCCTACATAGTATCACTATCACTTTGTCATCGTTGTAACTTTTTAAATATTTGTCGAAATGACATAAACTCAAAAGCAAAGTTTATCGTCTTTAAATATCAAAAGCGAAGAAAGTATTTGTTTTGTTAAAAAATAATTTGTTAATACAAAATGTGCATTTTGGAAATATGTAGATATCTAATAATATATTACTTTGATGCACTATGTTAGCGGTAATGGCTTATACATTAAAAATAGATATATGGTGTCACGGACTTTGTTGTAGAACTATTTAAGAGATACATTTTCACTCTAGATTACATTTATGTAACTTTTATTGTTTTTGCAGTGCAGGCCGAAATGGTTCGTAGATGAGAGATTTTTTCCGTCATTTGAGACACTTATTGTTATAATTTGGCCAATTCACTCAATAACTACATAAATTATTATATATATGTTATTATCATATATGAGCTATATTACTGTTATGTTTCATTAAAATCCATTCAGTATTTTTAGGTGAAAGAGTAACAAAGATCCATACAAACGTAAGATTAAAATTAAAAGCGCGAGTGGTTAATATTCAACTTTAAAGCGTTGTAGATCCTAAACAATCATATAAAATGAAAAATGGTGGTAGGAACCTAAACATGATTTTTGATTATCTAGACAATGGTACTCTACTCGACATATTTTGCCAACTTATTTTTTTTACTTCGTCACAATATGGCGCCTAATTTTTCCCATGTCGAATTTTGATTACTGTCATCTCTTTAGTAGCACTCTCATGATTGAGACGAATCGATTGATGTATTAATCATCAAAATCAGTCCAGACGTCTAGTGTGCAGCAAAGGTACATACATACATATATAGACTGTTAAACCTATACCCTGTCTGGGCGTCGCGCTTCGCGCTCTTGCATTGCGCAGTCGGGTAAAAACGAATCAAAACATAGTAAGTAAAGCGCAAAGTTTCGACCGTTTTTCGTCGAGAGTAGACCTCCTGTTGCTGCAGAAGTTGCTAGACGGCCCAAGTAACCTTTCCCTAATGTCATTTGTAAAACCTTATGTTTCCGAAAAAAACTACCAATACTTGAGCGACAAATTATATAAAAAAGTATTCATTCCCTTACAATGTATAACTGCAAAATAAAAGTTATAATTAATAATTGTAGATTATTTATATACTGATTTACAGTAAATCTCAATACAAATAGACAATACACATGCGTGACGTGAGCTGTCAATTAAATCATAATAAATAAATAAATATTTCCAACACTCACACCAATTAGCCTAGCCCCAAAGTAAGCACTGTTAGGCCTGTGTTATGGGATACTAGGGTAAAGGATAGAATACATATATTGTACATATATAAGTATATTTATATATAAATACATATTAAACATCCATGACTGCCATCTGCCCCCACCGGGATTCGAACCCGGGAACTCTCGGATACGGGATATCGGGATACTCTCGAGTCGGCGACACCATAAAACCCGGCGTATAAACCACTCGGCCACGCAGGTCGTCATAAAGATGGCGGAGTAACAAACGTTATTTATTTCAAAATTTATAATTTGCATAATTTTTTTCCGTGATTTTTCTTTTATTTAGTTAGTTATTCTGCTATTAGGGGCGGAGAGGATCTAAAAAATCAGCGCTCATTAAAATCGGTTCAGCCGTTCTTGAGTTATAAGTGCTTTAACTAACACAATTTTGTCTTATATTTTGTAGATATCACTTCTGTCGACTCAATTACTTCCGTGTTAAACATTCACAAAGTAAATAATTTTATTGTTAATCGCTTACCCATTAAAAAGCTATATTAAAATACCTACCATTTTATCGTTTTAATGATCTTAATCGATTTTGCGAGGGAGCACAAAAACCTTTTTGTTAAATTAACGTCAATCAAAGTCTTGATTGGATTTGTTTTGACTTACTAAGCTGAGGCCAAGTCACTATGAATTTTAAGGTCCCAATATGGAAAAAATATGATAAGTCATACTATAAAAAGAGGGAACGGGTCCTTCTTGTGTTATGATATTTATAGTATCAATTTCCTCTTTTCATAAACGTTTAAAGTCGAGATATCATCCTTAAAATTTATCCGCATATTTTTTTATACCTATAATAATGAAATTATTGCGTGGTTACCAATTTATCAAAGTATAATTTCCCTTATCGCTATTTTATTACAGTAGACCCGCGGTAATCCGGACCCCGTCTAATCCGGTGCCCTCTGCAATCCGACACGCTTATCACTGTTGATTTGCACATAAAATTGATTTTTAGATTTGTAATTTGTCGAATTATAAGGTACTCTTATTCCAAAAATTCCGGACGATAGAGAGTGGGCTTAGAGCCTTAGACAGTACTCTGTAATGCGACAAATTCGATAATCCGGCATCGCCCCGCAAAACGTTTGTCGGATTACCGCGGGTCTACTGTAATTTGTCTTGGACTTGAGATTGATATAATTGGTTATTTAATTATTATGAAATAATAAAAGTCATAATGTTTTAAAACTAGACAGGAAGAAGATGAAAAAAAAAATCTTTAATTTGTCAAAAAAACCTCTATAATTTCAGTATAAATTATCTAAATCTTTATTCAATCAGCTATTATTCTAATTTATGTTTTACAGCTTTGTTTTAGAGTGCACAATGTAATGTAGGTTTGTTCCGTGCGTATTTCGTCTCTCGGGGCTGATGCTACAGCAGTAGATGGCTGACCGCTACGAAAGGCGCTCGCTACGAGGCGTCTACGGCGCTCGCTACGAAACGAGCTACGAGTCTCTTACATCGAACTTTGAAAAAGTAATTTATAGCAGTGAATTTTAGAAAATAAATCCATAGTTTCTATCTTAAAGTATTAACAAAAATGTGATTGATTAAGATTAAGGATACGATTTAATATGTTAAAAACGATTGTTGATAAAAGAAAAACTTTTTGAGTGAGGACTCAGTGAAAAGTTTTTTTCCAATTGAAGAAGTATACAGAAAATATAATTGCATCTCTGAAAACTGAAAATAAAATAATCGGTGAGTTGAGCTTAGTATTTGTTAACATTTATTCCAGATATCCTAATATAATAATAATAATAGTCTTTATTGTAATACACCATACAAGAAACACAAGTAAATTAAAAATCATGATAGACAGAACGTACACAATATAGGCGGCCTTATTGCTAGGCAGCAATCTCTTCCAGGCAACCCATAATAGAAAGATGAATAATATTTTAAACTAATATTTTAGTGTTTTCAAAATCGCTAGATTTTCAATATTATTTTTGTTATTTTTCTACGTCTTTAATTTACTGAGGTAATAATTTTAATGACTGATGAATAATAACCAATTAATTGATTGACTAGTCTGATTCTTACACTAATAATCAAAAACACGAAACGGAAAACACCATAATCGTGTAATTTTTATGTTATATAAATTGACGAGTGCTTTAAAGAATGCTCGCTAAATAAAAGTTATATTTAGTGCACTATACGCCGAATGAAATAATATTTTATTTGCCAAAAATTTGTATTTTTGTCAGTGACTGCCAGGATAAAAGCAAAACTTTTCATTAAAAACAACGGATAATCCTAACCAGGATGTAAAATCTCAGTTAGTTTCTGAGCAAATGACCAATGCTAAAATCGTATAAACGTATTTAAGGATAATTTTTACTAAAGGAAATTTGAACGGTTTCAATACATTGGAAATTGTGTCAAGCCAGGCAACTATGCTAATAAATAACTATGATATTTTTAGATTTACACTTATCTACTCGATCGATACATCTATACAATATCACTTATTTTTATTGAATATAATAATTACACTCAAAATCATGAGAGCCACATTCAAGCAATATTGTTTGAATTAGTCAATATCACGTCAAATATATAGAAGAATGTTTCACATTTTGACAAATGATTATTTTTCCTATAGTAATTTGACTAGAGTCAAAATAAAATTAACTATATATCAAACAACGGCCACTTACACCAAAATTATTAATTCAAATCAGAAATCAATATATCTTTATTCAAATAGATACAACTCTTTTGAATCGTCGAAAAAATTTTTTCCCTACCCCTCGTTATGGCAATATTTTTTAGCTGCGGTGAAAAACAAGCGAAAAAAACTCCACAACGTTAAAAGTATAATGTTACAACATTTACAAATCATTATGTTTTTACAACGTCATACAATTATGATTTATTTAATATAGAAAACCTGTTGGAATGTTATGAACAGTTCAAACCCAAACATTGTTGTCTGTAATATAATCAGACACTTTGTAATAAGCTTTTTTAATAAATGCTTTTTTATACTATCTTTAAATTTATTTATGGTTAACTCGAAGATATTGCTTGGGATTTTATTGTATAAGCGAACACAAAGACCTTTAAATGAATTATTGATTTTGTGAAGTCTAGTTCCCGGTAAAGTTAGTTTATTTTTGTTTCTTGTATTAAGTGTGTGAACATCACACACTGTTTTTAAGAAACAAATTAATATTTTTTCTTACACGTAATAAATTTTCGTATATGTATGCGACCGTCATTATTCCAAATTCTCTAAACTTATCTCTTAACGATTCTTTAACTTTAAGATTATAAATTGATCGAATAGCTCTCTTCTGCAGCACAAAAATAGTTTTTACGTCAGCGGCATTTCCCCACAATAAAATTCCGTACGACATTACACTATGGAAATGAAGGTTTAATTCACACATCGTTTCATCTTTATCAGTTTTTAAAGGTATAGAAAGTTAGAAATAGGCGTGACCAAGATTCGTTTTTAAATTGCAATTAAGGACTTTGGCGAGCCTAATTCATTTATTTATTTCCAAGAAAAGTGGTACAAAAGGTGTTACATTAAGATTTGGTTAACTCTAAGAAGAAAAGAGACTAAACCCAAACCCCCATATTAATAAACAAAGAATAAGCTTGGATTAGTTACTCTATGTTTGATCTGTTTTCACTGAATTACAAATGAGGAGCTGGCGAACAAAAAGTATAATTACATAAAATTAAATTTCACACGAGCAGTAAAAACTGAATGACACACCTACTGTGAGCTTCTGGCATCTCTTATCTATTAGACGAGTCCGTCTGTCCGTGGTGCAGTTTCAGCGGCCAAACCGTAAGAGATAGATAAAGAGAATATTTAAGTTATAAGTTAAGAATAGTCTGATAAGACTACAAACCAGATTTGAGTAACGTAGCACTTCCGGTTTTTGAGAAATCACGAATTTCAAACGAAACCACACAAAATCTCCGAAGTTCTCAATTAATTAAATACATTTTTTTTAATCAGGTTTTGGTGAACATTTGGTTCACTGGTTTGCTAGTGGTTTATAATTTATTAATTTAGTAATTTTAACACCGCTTTAGACGGTTTTGATTGAACATGAGTTGAGATTCAAATTCAGCGGGCCCAAAACCTCCGGACTGTAAAACAAAAGTATTTTGACCAGATGCGTATTATACTGTTTTGTTCGCCAGCTCCTCAAATGGCACTTGAGTGATATGGACAAAACACGGCGTAAATAGTCTTAGCTTAGTCTTCGTTTATTAATAAGGGGGAGACACTGTTGTTAATATTGTGCATAGCAGTCGAAGAAATAAAGGGCCATCCACTTAAAACTGGGACGTTTTCCATTAAGCTAACTGGGTCGCAATCTGAGAAGACATTTTTGTGAAAGTCACGTGCATGAAAGCGTAATGTTTTTTTTTGTTAAAAATTATGAAGAAATGATAAAGTTCCTGGGAACACCGCATTTAAGTATACCTTACTCATAATTGAAAGCTTAAAATGAAACACGCCTTCGAAGTGATGGACTTAAAATACATTCATCTATGTTACTTAGCGTAAGAGCTTACAAAATGGATTGACGACGCCGCCGCCCCGCCCGGAAGCCAGAAATGTACGCAAATGTAAGATTTTTATAGGCTTTTTCTTGTTCAAGTCATGCCTCAACAGATTCTTTAATATGCGGCCATTACTCATATGTTGAATAACACATAAAAACGTTAATGACCATGAATAATTTAACGCCTTTTAAAACTTGAGTATCTTACTTTTAATCATACTGTTCTTCGTTACGCAGTTTGTATGCTTTAAATAACAAAGAAGGTTATAATTTTTATTATTTTTAAAGCATATTACTACTTGATGTTTAGATTTAAACATCAAGCAGTTACATGCTTTAAAAATAATAAAAATTATAACTATAATTGCTATTTCTTCTTTCAAATGTTTAATACTTGTAAAAGTATTCATTTGACATTGTGGGTTACCTATATTGCGAAGAGATGGCGCTGCCTTGCAGCTTAAGAATGGCTAGAAGAATTTCGACGCGGTCCATGAGGGTCGCGGTAGCATAATTGGTCAATACATTCGCCCGGATTGCGAAGGGTGCGGGTTCGAGTCGTGGATTTTTTTCTAGGTATATTTTCTTTAGATTTAAACAAAGAAGGTTGTAAACACTTAAGAACAATTATAACATAGTTATAAAAATTGACATTCATGTCTTATTCTAAGATCATACCAAGAAATTCGCTTATGCTGCGTTTCCACTTGATGCTCAAAACATTCCGAGTGAGCAAACATTTGTTCGCTCGGTAAATGGAATTCTCAGAACAATTTTGCGTCGTTTTCATTGCTGATAGATAAAGAGAGCATTCGTTTCCTGATTCAAGTCAAATATCGTTGTACGAACTCGTTCGCTCGCTCTGTTCTTTCCATTTAACCAGCGAGATAAAGTTTTCTCGTTCAGTACCCTTAGCACGAACCAATATCGAATTCGTAAAGTTTGCGTCCGAAATGTCATTGTCAAATGTGTACTGATTTTTAGTTCTCGTTACGTACTTTGTAGCGCTGCTTATCAAGTTTCCATACAAAATTTGACAATGACATTTCGGACTCGCAAACTATTGGAATTCGATATTGGTTCGTGCTAAGGGGACTGTCCTGAGCTTAAGCAGTAACACAGCATTAGACTACGCAATATCTACACAATAGCACACAGGTTTGCATTAGCATCATGCTGAGTCTGATCATCGTATATATGTATGCTGTATATTGCAAATTCTAAAACCTACTACCTTTCAGAGACTACACAGAAACTATGCAAGGCACGTCCTGCAATATGCAATAACGCCTTTTCAGTATGGTAAGTTACGTAGTGAGTTCTATGCACTGAACTAAACTCTATATAGTGGTATTTTAGTCTTATAAATCTTATATTAAGAAGAAATAAGATATACGTACGATTATAAGATCAAATTAAGTGCGCTGTAATATCTCGCACTAACCAAACATTCACTGATCATCAGTTTACTTATCTTTATATCTTTTTTTTATATATTTTCAACACTCACTCCAATTAGCCTAGCCCCAAAGTAAGCACTATAAAGCTTGTGTTATGGGATAATAGGGTAATGGATAAAATTTATTTACTGTACATATATAAGTATATTTATATAGAAATACATATTTAACATCGTATCATCGTATGACTGGAGTACAAATGCTCGTATTCATCGCACAAACATCTGCCCCCACCGGTATTCGAACCCGGGACCTCTCGAGTCGGCGACACCATGAAACCCGACGTACAAACCACTCGACCACGGAGGTCGTCGATATATATATGTATATATATATATATATATACTAGAACAATGAAACTAAAACCAAATACTATATTCTTAAAAATAAAATTCATAACTAAAATATATTATTAAAAGAATTAGTCTAGCTATTCAAAGGGAGAACGCTGCCAGTATCTTCGGAACCTTGCCTAAAGGGACTCGTTTTAATAATATATTTTAATTATTAATTTTATTTCGTACGATTATTACATACCTAACACCATTTTAACATTGTTTAAATGCTGTTGCTACATTCAATGATATATATTTTTAAATTTCGTTAAAGAAAAAGACGACACTTTCTACACTATACAAATAGAATAAAACAAAACGTCATGACTATTAAATTTTTTGATTCTTTTATGTGCGACTGTAAG